TTTGAAAATGTTCCCATTACTTGAACAGTTGCAACTTATTGACAGCATGAAAGCACAGCTTGATGTGAGTGTAGCTCCGACTAAATTTCAAACAAATGGGTTAGTATTTCAAATTCACAAATTTGCCCCCGGAAACCGTCAAATGTTTGCTGCGTGGGTTGGACAGGTTTTTAATGTTCCCCTTCAGCAGCTTAATTTTAATGCCTTAATGAATAAGTTTCACCGAATACAGCAAGAAGATAAAAAGAAAAAAGGACAAGTTAAGGAAAAATATAGAGCTGAGCATTTCATTGCTCAAACTAAAACCAGCCTGGCCAAAAATGCTTCATAAGTCAAGAAAATTGGGAAGGAATTTGAATACAACCAACAAGAGCTGAAATCTTCAAAGGAATATATCGAAATGTCAACTGAAGCTTTGGAAGATTCTATTTGCGCATTGGAAGAGGCAGCACAAAAGGAGAAAAGCATGAAAAATGACTTGGAGTACTGTGAAGAAAGTTTAATACAGACTCCTTATGTTTCTTTTCATATTTTTTTGTTGTAGGTAAGACATTTCAAGCCCATACTGACAGGCACAGTTGATGCTGTACTAGAAATGGTGCCTGGAAGCTCAGATGTGTCATAAGTTATTAACTTACCCCCCAAAATGGACATTTTCGCCACATTTCAAAGTCCTTTTTTTATTCCCAAAATTCAGTTTAGATGAATATGCACCAAAATTGGCCCTGGATTACTGCTAAAATATTATGGTTTAATTCAAATAAACATTTTCTTAAAATGTTACCCATTTTCATTTGTTGCCATTTTTTAGACCAAAATGAAGTTTCTGGCTCTCCACGGTGATGTCAAAAAGAGCTTTTCTGAAAGTTAATCAGACAAGTGGGAGAAATACCATCCTATGATATGTATTTCTGAAGGATTTCTGAAGCTAAATCAGTGATTTGTAAACACAATATGCAAAATTCTAAATTTGACTGAGCATTGCTACGGTCGGAAGTATTTAGCAATATTTCATCAATATCACGGCGGTGACACCATAAATGGGCTTCACACATTGTACCCATGTCGGGAATCGAACCGGGTCTTCGGCGTGACGAGCGAATGCTTTAAACACTCGGCTACCCGAGCGCCCCTTCCGGCATGTATAGAACTAGTTGGCATGTAGATCTATAGAGCGAGAATCTATAGTAGAAAGTGTTGAATGGGTGGAAGCAGAAATGTTAAATACAAACTACTGTGTTTACTCACATTCCTTAGCGTCGCCCCACGATCGATGACGTGCGACTGCTGTCCATCTAGTTGCTGCTGGTGTGGTCGTCATCGGGGTGGCAAAAGATGTTGACGACGTGAACGATATCCTCGATGACGATGAGGGAGTCTGGGTCCTGCCTGTGGCCCCTTGGGTGCTGGGGGTATCTTGTATGCCTCTGGTCCCTGGGATCCGACCTGCAGGTCAAACCAAGTGACTGAAAGATGGAGAACATAATTGCTGCTGGAAAATGATAGATCTAGAATGCGAATTTACCATTGACCAGAGCGATATACGACGACGATGCAGGTGTGCATGGATATGTTCTAACGTACCCGCCATTTGGGAGGCAACCATCTGATATCAAGGGAGGGGGTGAGGGGGCCGGGAGTGGAAGCTTGATTTTGGTTCGAGATGTGCATTTTTAATGTTTAGGAGCTAAATTACCTTTTCCAAAACACACATTAACATACAATTTGACACCCAGACCTTTCAACAATACCGTCTGCAAGATAAGGGCACATTTGGTTTTAGTAAAACGGGCTAGATTATAATTTTAGAAAATATCCCCACACCCCTCCCAAAACAAATGGTTGCTGCCTTAACCTGTAGCCTGACGCGAGTTCAGGAGAGCGCGCTGTTCAACACGACTGACCCCACTATTGCACGTACGCGTTTAATTGCCTTTGGCGATGTCAAAAGAATAATCTTTGCGACTAGATCTACCATTAACATTTTTTTTTGCATTTTCAATACTTTGACCCGTGATGATCCGGGTAGAGAATAGGTCTTCTGCAACCCGCAACCCATGTGTTTGCCGTAAGGATCGGGTGGTCAGGCTCGCTGACTTGGTTGATGCATGTCATGGGATCCCAATTGCAAAGATCGAAGCTAATGATGTCAATATTGCTGGATTGTCTGGTCCAGACTCGATTATTTACAGACTGCCGTCATATAGATGGAATATTGCTGAGTGAGGCGTTAATTCTAAACCACAAACAAACAAATATTTTCAATAACAAAAATAAACACATATTTTCAATAACAAAAATAAACACTTTGTTATCATGAACATCAAAGTATGAACCCATCATACTTGCGATTAAATGAAATGTGTGAACCTATGACACTTGTGGACAGGGCAAATTTTTTCACACTTCTTAGCCCTGCTTGCTGGATTGATTTTAGCATATGGCGCTGTAAAGAGGGTGGGTGATTTCAAACGGTCGGTGCATGCCTAGTTAAACAAGGGACATTTGAACCAATATTTTGCACATTAACACCTGTTGTTAAGACACAAGCGAACATAGAATGTGTAAAAAAAAATAACTTACCTGAAATACGTTATGGAAGGCTAGATGCGTTTCATATTAGTAACCTGTCTAAATAGTTAAACTTGTGAAAATTGATTTTAATAATCATATCTCCGATATATTAATTTTAACTGATTACAAATTCGTATTGTTTTATCGACAAAAGAAAATAACAACGCAATGGTAAATTATCAACCATTTCAGTAAAGTTATTATCCAAACGTTAGACAGAATAAAATTTAAATTTCCGAGGTCATCATGTCAGTTGCGGAAATGAGAATATCAGGGTTAATCTAACGTGTCATGTCATAGAATTTGGGGGATACAATGATCGACTTATACATATTTACCAATCCTAATTTCAAGTGTTTGGTATGAACATTTTTTTATATTCAAACATACAAATTCTGTGTTGTAATGCCAGCTGACGTACGACAATGAAACATTGCTCGCTTTGCCCGACCTCAGCATAAAATATTGCTATTTTAAAATAATCAAATTTTGCATGGACGTCATGTATAAATGTACCTTGGCGAAAGTGGACGATCTTCTAATTCGACGAGTGTTTCATTTGTCATTTTCAGTAAAAAATGACGAGATAAAAACGAAACTGAAATCTGATTGCAATTGCTAGCACGTGCCGGGGGAGTATTGGTGTGTTCAGTAACAAGCAGCTGAAAGTGTGCACTGATTTAGTCACCTGAAGCTCCAGCACATCGTCAAGTATGAAGCGTCTTGAAACAATGGGGCCCCGTGTGTGACGTCACCAAGCCCCAACCCCCACCTGACAGTCTTATGCAACAAGGCTCCAGCTGGAATGTCTGACGTGCACTATACGAGTTACAACCATTCCCAGGCAATGGAAATCAACATGTAAAACCATTGCCCACACAATGTTTCAGTTGATCTTGATTTTTTTAAATAGATTGACCCATGTTTCAACGTCCATAATCCACGCGCGGTTGCTACAATAATGAGTCAGTGCTGTCAGAGTAGCTATGCTTTTTATGATTTTCCAAACTGGCTGGCATGTCATATTAGTCAATGTATTTAACTGTATAATGTGTTATGGCTCTCTATAGAAGCAGGGCTGTGGGGTAGCCTAGGGATTAAAGCGTTCGATCGTCACGCCGAAGGCCCGTGTTCGTTTCCCCACATGGGTACAATCTGTGAAGACCATTTCTGGTGTCCCCCGCCGTGATATTGCTGGAATATTGCTAAACGCGGCGTAAAACCAAACACACTCACTCACTCACTCACTCTGGTGTTCCCCGCCGTGATATTGCTGGAATATTGCTAAAAGCGGCGTAAAACCAAACACACTCACTCACTCACTCTGGTGTCCCCAGCCGTGATATGGCGGGAATATTGCTAAAAACGCCACAAAATCATATTCAATCAAACAGAAACACACCACCATCTTGTTGTAAAGATTGATAATTTGTTCAAGAAAAGTAATTACATGGGTCGTACATATATTCCAACTTGTGAAAGGGTTGCATTTAGCAAAAGGTGGTATCGATCATAATACACTTAATGTCTATGTTGGCGGCCATTTATGAACAAACATCGCCCTGGTCAAGAACAACAAGTACTTTTAGTTCTATACGTATTTTATAACGAAAAGCTACCAAATCACTCGTATATAAATACAAGATTTTTCTTCTTATCAAAGTTTTGTCCATGTCACCGTTGCAGTAGAACATATTCGTGAGCCTTGAACCTTCTGCGCAGGATCGGACCCTGCTTGTGCCTGACGTTTTTCGTTATTTTTGTTTTGTCTGTAAATTAAATGATAAAACAAATGTTCCATCAACACCAAGTCGGATTTAACTGACTTTGTAGTTAAGCTGTCAACATTGAATAATGTACTATATTGTACGTCAAGTTAGAGGAATCATTGCACACTAACAGTGAGATGTAAAATTTAAGACCAACATGGCTTTTGTTAATATCGAAGCATCACCGTGTTGACAATGAACGTTTATAGAAAATGAGAAGATATACATACTTTGAGGAAAATATACTCGTTATAGTTATGCGCTGGGGTTTAATTTGGTTTCCAGTGTGTAGAAATGTATCCCGAGGTGTTCCATATCAAGAGCATGGCGTGTTTCACGAGAAGTCCGTGCTCGACATGTCCATCTACAGATTCCATTGTTTTAAGGGTTGCGATTTGACAAAAGGATAGCCCATGTATTCTCTCTCAGTTGATTGGTACTGAATACCCATAAGGCCGCGGGCACAGGCTTGTTGGCTTAATTGGTGTAAATGGGCCAGTGTATAACACGGATACTTCCACGCATGCATCACGTTTGTCATGACGCTACATTTACCCGCTTTCCATCATGTTGAACGTTCTGCGGACTTTTGTACAGCCTTCAGCCCAGGCGCCTCCGTCTCGACAGGCCGCTCCACAAGCAACGCCTCAGGTCCAACAGGACACTACTCCGGCATCCTCCAGGGTAACATCATCATCGTCGTCGTCAGCGCCTTTTGCCAACAATGGTGACCACACAATCTGAGAGTAGGCAGGCAGCTGGGGCACGGCATCGGGGGCGACTCCAGTGGATGTAAGTAAACACATTAACTTCATAGAGTTCATCCTCTTCAACCAACGATACCCGTTCTACTTGACATGCTTACTGCGTATATCATTGATGCTATCGTTCATGTCTGAATCTATTTATTTTTGTTACGCTTCTGAGTGAGCGGATTCCAGCAATATCACGGCGGGGAAGGATCTAACCTAAGTCGTTTTGCGTGTCAGGCGAACACTTTACTCGTTACGCTACCCCAGCGTTCCAAAGTCTGTGATTCAGTTTTCTTGTACAATCATTGGTATGGTGTATGACATCAGGGCTACTGGGCAATATTTTGTTACGGTCACCGTGTGTTATCCTATATATTGATTTGGTTGAACTCTTTGTTTTTGTAGCAATATATACATGACCATGTCCTATCCACTTATTGTTTAACTTGCTTGTAAAATGTACCAACATATACACCAAAACGTCGCGTTGAAAGTGAAATGGAAGTTTGATGTACTGTCATAGCACGGGGTTTTCTACAGTTCTGGTCATGAACACAACTATGACAGCTGTATTAAAAACATCACCATGGAATAAACCGTCCCTTGATTGTTTCATTGTTAGCCACCATCACGCATGGTTGTCTACTTTCCTTTCCCCGGCAGTGTGTGTAAGTTCATTGTTTTGGCAATATTTGACATTTGTTTATGTTTGACAGGTTTCTGAATCCGCGGAATTGTTGAAACTCTGAGAGGAAAGCCGGAACTTACAAGAGGATATCAGGGAACTAAAAGAAGAAAACCGGCGTCTGAAAAGAAATGTAAGTCAACCACGATGAATATGTTTAGGTTTAACGCCGCCTTCATCAGTCCTTTATGTTTGTGATTGCGTGGCACCACGATGTTGGAGGTGGGCCCAAAGTGTCACAGGCCGTAGAGGCGTATCCTGCCTGCACCAGGATGTAACGGCGTCTTAAACTGAAAGACTATTACTGTAGCTATCAGATGTTCAAATGTATCCGTTCTCGGAACTTCAACACAGGACATTGATGAGATAACAAGATCGAAAAGATCTATATTAATTTTAAAACGATTGATTTGTATATGCATGAAACATTCCAATATAATACTACTCAAAAGAAGTAAAAGAACATCCGACTCATATGTCCACAGATAATCTGTCATGCCATGACTTTGGTGTTCTTTCACTTCTTATATGTAGTCAGGAGATAATCGTTGGAGAAAGTCGAAAGTGAGACGTTAGATGGTGTGACGTCGCATGCACGATTATTTCAGTCATTTGTTTTATATTCAGTTCATTACCACCTAGGCGTTGTTTAGTCTTCTAGAGCTATAGGTGTTGATATGTGTGGGAAGGAGGATATGCTGTTTTATAATATGGTAAAGATTAATCTTCAGTTCATTACTACCTAGGCAGGGGCGGTCGGGTAGCCTAGTGGTTAAAGCGTTCGCTCGTCACGCAGAAGACCCGGGTTCGATTCCCCACATGGGTACAATGTGTGAAGCCAATTTCTGGTGTCCCCCGCCGTGATATTGCTGGAATATTGCTAAAAGCCGCGCAAAACAATACTCACTCACTGTCTCATTACTACCTAGGCGTTGTCTAGTCTTCTAGAGCTATAGGTGTTGATATGTGTGGGAAAGGGGATATGCTGTTTTTATAATATGGTAACGATCAATCTCCATGACAATAAAACATGTCCCATGGGTTCATAACAGCTGTGATTGCCGTCAATCTGATCCCTTGTGCATACATATATAACGCAATATAACACGCATTCCCTTTGTTTAGGTTGTCGCTGATGACATCGACGATGGCATCGTCATCCGCCTCGGCATCGCCATCCGCCTCAGCAACGTCTTCCGCATCCGCCTCCGCATCCGCATCCACACCCACATCCACATCCACATCCACACCCACACCCACAACCGCACCTGCATCACCGACCCAGACGGTGCCATCAGTAAGTATGCTATTCAACTACTTAAACATAACTGGCAGCCATTAAAGATTCACTCATGTTGAAACTAAATCTCGCCATAAACCTGAATTGTTTGCTTTTAGCTCAAGTCAATGTTTTAAGGCTTATTGACATATCATAATACTTTTTCTAAAACAGTTCCCGTTGTGAGTAATCTGCTACCTCATGCTGCCCGTTTGTCACTGGTCCGGATGACAGGCATCCGTGGTAGAGCTGGAATATTGCTGTCTGCGGCGTTAAACAACATTCACCCACTCAAACAAAAACATTTATAATAATGTAATAATAATAAATAAAATAAGAAAGTTGCATTTACATTTTAAAATAGATAAAAAAAATTGTCATTGCCAGAGAAAGATGAATACAATATAATAATTTAAAGGTCAAGATAACTTCTTATAAATATTTAAGTGGAAAACGGATCTGACAGGTTTCACTTGAAACTGAAAATAGTTTTTTTATTGCATAACTTGCCACACACTATCCCTTATCACAACTATTAAGTAATCTTATGTCATTAGCAGCTATCAATACAACATATAATATACGCAGTCATAAAATGTTGTTCATTTATATTTTCAATGACTTTTCTCACTCAGAACCATACACCTGACGAGGCCAGGCAAAGAACAGAACGGAGAAACCAACGCCAGGTCTGGCGGAAAAGGCAACGACAACAGCGCCAACAGCAACGAGGGCAACAAACAGTCATACGAGGAGTTGCTACGTCTTCTGGACGAAGCACAGAGGACTTCCGTGAGTTTCATATAGTCTTATCTTTTTTTCGAAACAAATAATATACCGAATTTGATTGAAACCCAGTATCCATTTATTGTGGTCGTTGCTAATGTTGTAAGCCACAAGTAACATAGTTGACCTGAAGGTGTAAGTTGCCTTTATCTGAGACACGTTACAACTGCAACAGTCCAGCACTCACTTCAGGGAGAACATCACTATAGCTTTGTGTCCTCTGTAGATTGTGTCTTGGACAGGAGAAGAGGGTCAATGCATTGTGTTTTCTTTCATTGTAGAGGGGCCGAGTGCGAAAACCAGCTGGAGTTCTCCAGATGGCGCTGGGAGGAGAGGAGAGTAAGTGGACCGTCATGTGTGTATGTCATCTTTGAGCCAGTTCTCGCATTTAGAAAGGGAGGTAATCCATCACCTCACCAACTCCCCCACCCAACATACTGCTGGAATATACTTAATACATATAAGTTACATTGTTCCCGGTTCAGTTTGCCCTAAATGTCAACTTCTTCTACCAATTATATATTACCTCAGGAGATTCTCGGGGAAGGAAAGGCACTCCCAATACATCATGCTTTGAGTACGGGTTAAAGCATATGAAATGGTACACAATGCATGTGTGTTTATTCTAACAATTGAATGCTTTGAATGGCTTGTTAGCAGGACACGTGTTAATCTGCAGTCGTTTCACGTAGAATTGTCGAAGTATTAATTAGACAGATGCGTTTTTTTTTCTAAAATTAGTATTAATAAATAACTGTTATTTCATGAATGTTAACGAAACACTTTTCTGCTCACTCCAGGTGTCGTCACAAAGTATCAAGATGATTTCATCAGACAGGCGTTAGACAGTTGACAGTCATCCCCAGTCCTGTCCCCAGTCCTGTTCAGCTTAAGGAATAATCTTCAGTCGCCCTTCTGTTGCCAGACATCCTCAGTCGTTCTACTCTGTTGCCAGATATCCTCATTAGCTCATTTGCCCTACTCTGCTGCCAGCCACCCAACCAGCCTCGGTTACCCTACTGTTACCCTAGACAGCCTCAGTCGCACTACTCTGTTGCTATGCAGCCTCAGTTGCCCTACTGTTGCCAGCAAACCAACCTGAGTCGCCCTACTCTGTTGCCAGCCTGAGTCGCCCTACTCTGTTGCCAGCCCGAGTCGCCCTACTCTGTTGCCAGCCCGAGTCGCCCTACTCTGTTGCCAGCCCGAGTCGCCCTACTGTTGCCAGCCCGAGTTGCCCTACACTGTTGCCAGCCCGAGTCGCCCTACTCTGTTGCCAGCCCGAGTCGCCCTACTCTGTTGCCAGCCCGAGTCGCCCTACTCTGTTGCCAGCCCAAGTCGCCCTACTCTGTTGTCAGCCAACCAGCCCGAGTCGCCCTACTATTGCCAGCCCGAGTCGCCCTACTATTGCCAGCCCGAGTCGCCCTACTCTGTTGTCAGCCAACCAGCCCGAGTCGCCCTACTATTGCCAGCCCGAGTCGCCCTACTATTGCCAGCCCGAGTCGCCCTACTATTGCCAGCCCGAGTCGCCCTACTATTGCCAGCCCGAGTCGCCCTACTCTGTTGCCAGCCCGAGTCGCCCTACTGTTGCCAGCCCGAGTCGCCCTACACTGTTGCCAGCCCGAGTCGCCCTACTCTGTTGCCAGCCTGAGTCGCCCTACTCTGTTGCCAGCCCGAGTCGCCCTACTCTGTTGCCAGCCCGAGTCGCCCTACTCTGTTGCCAGCCCGAGTCGCCCTACTCTGTTGTCAGCCAACCAGCCCGAGTCGCCCTACTATTGCCAGCCCGAGTCGCCCTACTATTGCCAGCCCGAGTCGCCCTACTCTGTTGTCAGCCAACCAGCCCGAGTCGCCCTACTATTGCCAGCCCGAGTCGCCCTACTCTGTTGCCAGCCAACCAGCCAGCCTCGGCAACCACGTCAACTAGGCGTTTCTCCGCTACATACGGTAAGTAGAACTTCATTGAATTTTAGTTCAAGATATAAATGACGTTATTTCTAAAGTATGTATATCTTTGTTGAACAAGTGTCGATGGTATCCGTTCGTCCATTATCGAAACTATTTTGCAACTCAAATGGAATTATCTACGTTTTAAAAAGCCACTGAATTATTCTGTTCAACAAAATACTCTTTTTTTTCTTCAGGTTTGGTACAGTCAATGTTACATTCCCCAACACCTGCCAATTACATCGCTTCATGTGCAGGAATTATACTTCATTTCTATACCCATGTTCCGACTAAGGGCAGCCTACAGAGGTTATTTTTCTGTTGGAATGTTTGAACCAAGTGGACATGTACATGTTCATTGCTTCCTATAATGTACCAGATAACGAAGGTATCTCAGCACCGTATTTTGGCCGTATGTACATATCTTCGTGTTTAATTCAGTTTCACCTCAACATGTTGGTGCCTCAGTGTACAAGGTAAACGTTCTACCTACACAGCAATACCTTGGAATCAATAGTTTACTGTTAATAGCAGCTATTGTACTCGTGCTTGTCTTATGTCACTAGGGGCGGTCGGGTAGCCTAGTGGTTAAAGCGTTCGCTCGTCACGCCAAAGACCCGGGTTCGATTCCCGACATGGGTATAATGTGTGAAGCCTATTTCTGGTGTCCCCCGCCGTGATATTGCTGGAATATTGCTAAAAGCGGCGTTAAACCATACTCACTCACTCACTTATGTCACTACTGCCCACTGGGGCAACGCACATAGTGCTTATTTCGTATGCCACTATTGCTCACTGACCAGATACATAAGCGTTACATACAGTCATGATTTTCTGGACGATCTTCCACTTACAACACCTGGAGGGTCATGTGTACTTCCTGATGACTCGGCGGCTTTAAGGTGTTGAGGGGTGTTTTATGTTTCATGGCTCGTTCTCCTACCTGAAACACCCGCCAACACCTTCTAGTTGAACGGTTACTCGGTTGTATTCACAAGCATCTTCTCGGGTAGTGGTATTCAGTTAGCGTCTAGACCGCCTCCGTGGTCTAATGGTAGAGCGTCCGCCCGGAGAGCGAAGGGGCTTAAACAAGGACTGGTCGGCTCGGAGTCAGTATACTGTGTCTGAGTGGGGTATTCATGTTAAACTGCGGCATGGTATCTCAGTGTGCTAGCACTAAAAATCGGCATCAGTCCGGACTAGTACAAGCAGCCACACACACATACACGTGCATGCACGTCGCTATATAAGTGCAATAATCTTGGACGCGACGTTAAACCCCCATTTCACCTCACCTCACCTAGTTCGCGTCTTTAGACAGTGACGTTTTGGAAGGATTATAAAGCAGAAAGGTTGTACATACTTTAAAATGAGTAGCTCTTATCACACGAGTATTTCTTGTATAGTATTATTTACCCTTGGCTATGGCATCAATTTATTTCAAATAGTATTCTTGACACTTGAAATTAAAAAATTAAAATTCCTAACCATGTTCGATGCAATTGGCATTATGAGGGGCAGCGTCGTTTGCCCGTCTGTTAATGACGTCATGATGTGCTATATGAGCAATACTACCCCAGTGGACCTGCTGCTGGATACATTGTATGTCTGAACTGGAGGACGGCCCGCCTGACGCCATCGCCCCTGATCACACCACATACCACGTGATCTCAAGTCAACCACAAAGATGGATGCATCTTCAGCACAACAAATTCACAGGGTGAGTTTCAAACTATATACTTTATTTGATGTTTGAAAGGCATGTATCTTAATTATATCTTAAATTTATTCGTAGATACAGGGCATGCCATCTGTATTTTCTTTTCCAGAACATTCCTCTGGTCTACACTATTCTAAATGAATGTTCCTGGTGTATACCTCATCACAATGTCTTCATGTACAGGTCGCATTACCACAGCCCGATGCCACTGCCATTTGATTGCATCAGATACCACGTGATGGGTACATAGATTCCAAGTCCATTAAGATGGATGTATTTTCAACACAACAAATTCGTAAGGTGAGTTTCAAATTATATACTTTATGTTCTTATATGAGGTATTAACATTATGAACAGCCTTTTGTAGGACGTTAATACGATGTACAAGCTTTACAAATATTTACCCGTATTTGAATGACTCCCTGAATACAATCCGACCTCAGCCATGTCGAACAAGTTTATTTATGAAAAGGGGTTATCTTTTTGTTTTTCTTGGATATTCTCACAATTCTCGATTATATCAACCTTTTCTCACCGTGTCGATTGTCATATCTCGCACACTTTTGGATGCGATCCTTCGGCCATCGCGCTTATCGACTTTGCCCAGCTTATTGGAAACAACTAACTGGATACTTCCCTGTAAACAATAACGTCGTCCAATTTACGACGTCATCATGTTGCGAGGTCATGTTCGAATCTCCAGAAATGACGTCATGATAGAACAATGATTTATTGTGAAATAAATCACCCTTCGTTCTTCATTGTTCTTTGCGATATTTCGTGCAGCAATCTTATTTTTGATGTTTGAAAATTATGCATCTTAATTGTATCTCTGTAGGCTATTCGAAGAAAAAAGACATCTTACCTGTAGTTTCTATTTTATTCCATTTCTTTTCATTCCATATGACTCTGAGTCAACATCTAATCAGAATTTGTATGTGAACAGGTCCCATTACCTCAGCTGTAACCTACTCGTGACTCCCACACCTGACTCTCCTGTCAACTACACAAATGCTTACGGACAATGGTGAGTATCTGAATGCTGAGTTATGCAAACAATGAATCGATACAAACATCTGTTGAATATACAAGATTCTGTTGAAAATGTGAAAAGAACATCACTATAATAACTTGAGACAACAGTTGTCAAAAACGTATACAGCATAGAAGGGTAGTATGACATACAAATTATTCTTCACCTTTATACTGTCTTGCTCAAATAATGTGCACAATGTCCCCATGTATATAACAGAAACGTGACTATACAAGTATGTTCAAACAGCCATCTTCTGAATTAATATCAAGCAAACTTTGTCCAACAGGCTTATCCTCCAAGTCTCAAGGTCAAGCTTCCTACCTCCATATATGTAAACGAAACCCTCAACGACCAGATTGGACTTGTCGTAATGGACTTCTTACTGCGCGATGTATCGGAACTCAAGGACTGGAGTGGACTAGTCTTGATCCCCTTCCTTACTCCGCGTAATCTCAAGGACTAACCCGTGAAGATACGGAGTAAAATACGTCTTCAGCAACCCATGCTTGCCTTAAACGGCGGCTATGCTTGTCATAAGAAGCGAGTAACGGGTGGTCAGGCTCGCTGGCTTGGTTGCTCATTATGTCTATCACTGGATTGTCTGGTCCAGACTCGATTATTTACAGACTGTCGTCATATAGCTGGAATATTGCTGAGTGCGGCGTTCACACATGTTTTGTGTATTCCCAGTGTACTTTACAATATTACGTTTAGCCTCACAAAATCGTGAGGTTGTAGGGTTGCCTAGTGGCCATGGTTAAAGTGTTTACTCCTCCAAGCCTAAGAGACCCGTGAAGATTCCGGGATAGAATAGGTCTTCAGCAACCCACACTTGCCGTAAAAGGCGAACAATGCTTGTCGTAAAAGGCGACTAAAGGGATCGGCTGGTCAGGCTCGCTGACTTGGTTGATGTATGTCATCGATCCCAATTGCGTGGATCGATGCTCATGATATTAATCACTGGAAGCGGCGGTGAACATCAAACAAAAATCTTAATTACTAGAGTTGGGCCATCAAGTCAGAATGGTGTACATATTGCATTGAATACATACTCAAAGACTGGAGTGGACTAAGGACCAGGTTGCATCACACCTGTGTTGGGTTGTGACGGTGAACATCTATCAGTTTTATCATTGTCAGTGCTGTTGTATAACTGTGGTATAATATCACTGACACCCATCCTTGGTAACTGAATTTATTCTACAACCAGGTAGTGGGCCTTCTCTTTCGTCAATTCAAATCTTATGTTGGGTGGTATTAGGATGGACAGTATTACATAACGCCATTACCACATCATAACTCCTAGGAAAATAATCATTGGATTCTGAAACATGTTTATATGACATTTTCTTTCGGTCTGTCAGGAGGGTGGCTATATACAGGTGTAGTTGAGCCATGCTACCCTGGATATATTCAGCCAAGTGACTTTCTAAATAAACATATTTAAAAATTAAAGCAAACGTAAATATTTGAATTTCACTAATTGTTTTGAATGTCAAAGCTCAGTTTTTTGTTGCTGTGGGTCAACATTGGGTTCCGCCATGTTAGTGGTGTTTACAGTTCAAGAAAATGGATATATACAGATGTGGTTGAGCCATGCTGCTCTGGATGTATTCATTTGACAACCTTCCTAACCAGCCCAGGGGTTCTCCATAGTATCGGTACACACTGGGATACCTAGCCTTAGCCAACTTTGTAGACAAGCGGTCTTTTACAGGTCCGGGTCATATTCTACCGCTGTAAGTGTAAATATCAAAACAAGTGATACTAATATTGACTATAGTAATGCTTATATTTCATATATTATAGCAATTCACACATGTTTTGTGTATTCCCAGTGTACTTTACAATATTACGTTTAGCCTCACAAAATCGTGAGGTTGTAGGGTTGCCTAGTGGTTAAAGTGTTTTCTCCTCCAAGCCTAAGGGACCCGTGAAGATTCCGGATTAGAATAGGTCTTCAGCAACCCATACTTGCCGTAAAAGGCGACCATGCTTGTCGTAAGAGGCGACTAACGGGATCGGTTGGTCAGGCTCGCTGACTTGGTTGATGCATGTCATCGATCCCAATTGCGTGTATCGATGTTCAGGATGTCAGTCACTGAATTGTATGGTCTAGACTCGATAATTTACAGACCGCCGTCATATAGCTGGAATATTGCTGAGTGCGGCGTTAAACAACAACCCAACCAACCTCCAAGCCTAAGAGACCCGTGAAGATCCGGGGTAGAATAGATCTCAATCCATGCTTGCCGTAAAAGGCGACTATGCTTGTCGTAAGAGGCGACTAAAGGGATAGGGCGGTCAGGCTCGCTGACTTGGTTCATGCATGTCATCGATCCCAATTGCGTGGATCGATGTTCAGGATGTCAGTCACTGGATTGTCTGGTCCAGACTCGATAATTTACAGACCGCCGTCATAAAGCTGGAATATTGCTGAGTGTGGCGTTAAACAACAAACCAACCAAGCCTAAGACCACGGTTCGATCCCCACATTCATGACGTCCTCCATGGTGTTCAGATGGATTTATATACTGCTAAAAGCGGCCTTACCCCCTCAGATGTATATTTTCTGTACAGTGGCTCCATCTCAACTTGATGATTGTAAACTCACCCTGTTAGTACAAACCTGATTGAGAGCAACGTTTAAGAAAACACGACTGTGTAAATATGTGTATTCATTGTCTTTGTTCATACTTATTAGAAAATATTTTTAATAAAAAATTTAAATGAACAATATTGTGTTATGTTGTCACTGTAACAAGGGCAATTAGGAATATTGGTTTGAGGCACCGCAATTGGCTGATGCGTCCATTAGCCGTGTCAGGATTTGATCGTGGGTTCGAATCCCTGATTCACCCTGGTGACGATTTATGGTTTATCGACACCATTCTATTGTAGCACTGCAAGGATACAATGCGGTACTATGATCGACACAAGTCTAGTTAACCCGGTCCTCAGCCATATTTGCAGCAACTAATCAAGCAAGTTAATCATTACATAGGCCCTTTCTCCATATGATGGCAAAAGTTCTCAACATAGAAACAAAATATTTCTTCATGCTTTCATTCTAAAAGGTTTAATGAGAGTGTAAAGTAAAATCAGAATACCTCACGTACATACTACCTTTAGCCAGTGGTAAATCTGATTTGAGGTCTGCTAAACTAGCTACATGTATACAACTTGGAGACATTGGGGCGTTGTTATAAATAGTTCTCAGAAGAAATAACGTAGTGCTGAATGTATTGTGGCCTACTGAAGGTGCAATGGACATGTTTCTTAGTTAAGTTGAGCTCTACTTTAATCAAGGTTTACGACAGCATCTTTGCTTAATTTGAAAAATGACGGGTCCGAGGCATTTAAGGCTTCAGTGAAATCCCCCATGGGCACCGATTGTGCTCCCCAACTGGCTGACCTGCTTCTTTATGCACTCGACTCAGAATTTCTGCTCTGATTAGCAAAATCAAAACCGTGAGAGGTTTTAACTAAGCATAGGTATATCGAAGGTATATGAATTACCCACCTCAGCTAGAAATAAAAGATACCAGTGAATCGCCTCATCTGATTCATTTATAGATCAATGCATAAAAGAAGCAGTGTGACAATACAATATCCACAAGGCAAGAAGGATTCCGTCATGTCGAGCAGCATTCCAGCGCTTCCAGCCTTTGGTGTCCACATTTCAAAACTTTTGAGGAAATAATGTGCATACTCTTCCAGAAAGTGTCACACGACTGCTTGATCAGGGTTTCAGTATTTAAGGGATCAGTAAAGCTTTCCCCATGCTTGTCGTAAGAGGCGACTAACGGGATCGGGTAGTCAGGCTCGCTGACTTGGTTGATGCATGCTATCGATCCCAATTGCGTGGATCGATGCTCATGATATCAATCACTGGATTGTCTGGTCCAGACTCGATTATTTACTCATACCCACATCCTTCGTCTCGCCCTCTCTCATACCCACATCTCCCGTGTCGCCCTCTCTCATACCCACATCCTCCGTCTCGCTCTCTCTCATACCCACATCCTCTGTCTCGCTCTCTCTCATACCCACATCCTCTGTCTCGCCCTTTCTCATACCCACATCCTCTGTCTCGCCCTTTCTCATACCGACATCCTCCGTCTCGCTCTCTCTCTCTCATACCCACATCCTCCGTCTCGCTCTCTCTCTCATACCCACATCCTCTGTCTCGCCCTTTCTCATACCCCCCCCCCCCCCCCCACCCCCCCTCCCCCCCGTCTCGTCCTCTCTCATAGCGAAAACCTTCGTCTCGCCCTCTCTCATACCCAAATCCTCCGCCTCGCCCTTTCTCCTACCCACATCCTCCGCCTCGCCCTTTCTCCTACCCACATCCTCCGCCTCGCCCTCTCTCATACCCACATCCTCCGCCTCGCCCTTTCTCCTACCCACATCCTCCGCCTCGCCCTTTCTCCTACCCACATCCTCCGCCTCGCCCTTTCTCCTACCCACATCCTCCGCCTCGCCCTTTCTCCTACCCACATCCTCCGCCTCGCCCTCTCTCATACCCACATCCTCCGTCTCGCCCTCTCTCATACCCACATCTTCCGCCTAGCCCTCTCTCATACCCACACCCTTCGTCTCGCCCTTTCTCATACCCACATCCTCCGTCTCGCCCTCTCTCATACCCACATCCTCCGTCTCGCCCTCTCTCAAACCAACATCCTCCGTCTCGCCCTCTCTCATACCCCCCCCCCCCCCACCCCCCCTCCCCCCCGTCTCGTCCTCTCTCATAGCGAAAACCTTCGTCTCGCCCTCTCTCATACCCAAATCCTCCGCCTCGCCCTTTCTCCTACCCACATCCTCCGCCTCGCCCTTTCTCCTACCCACATCCTCCGCCTCGCCCTCTCTCATACCCACATCCTCCGCCTCGCCCTTTCTCCTACCCACATCCTCCGCCTCGCCCTTTCTCCTACCCACATCCTCCGCCTCGCCCTTTCTCCTACCCACATCCTCCGCCTCGCCCTTTCTCCTACCCACATCCTCCGCCTCGCCCTCTCTCATACCCACATCCTCCGTCTCGCCCTCTCTCATACCCACATCTTCCGCCTAGCCCTCTCTCATACCCACACCCTTCGTCTCGCCCTTTCTCATACCCACATCCTCCGTCTCGCCCTCTCTCATACCCACATCCTCCGTCTCGCCCTCTCTCAAACCAACATCCTCCGTCTCGCCCTCTCTCATACCCACATCCCCCGTATCGCCCTCTCTCATAGCGACACCCTTCGTCTCGCCCTCTCTCATACCCACATCCTCCGTCTCGCCCTCTCTCATACCCACATCTTCCGCCTAGCCCTCTCTCATACCCACATCCTCCGTCTCGCCCTCTCTCAAACCCACATCCTCCGTCTCGCCCTCTCTCATACCACACCCTCCGTCTCATCCTCTCTCATACCCACACCCTCCGTCTCACCCTCTCTCATACCCACACCCTCCGTCTCGCCCTCTCTCATAGCGACATCCTCCGTCTCGCCCTCTCTCATACCCACATCCTCCGTCTCGCCCTCTCTCATACCCACATCCTCCGTCTCGCCCTCTCTCATACCCACATCCTCCTTCTCGCCCTCTCTCAAACCCACATCTTCCGTCTCCCCCTCTCTCATACCCACATCCTCCGTCTCACCCTCTCTCATACCCACATCATCCACCACGCCCTATCTCATACCCACATCCCCCGTCTCGCTCACTCTCATATACCCACATCCCCCGTCTTGCCCTCTCTCATACTCACACCCTCCTTCTCAGCCTCCGTCTCGCCCTCTCTCATACCCACATCTTCCGCCTAGCCCTCTCTCATACCCACACCCTTCGTCTCGCCCTTTCTCATACCCACATCCTCCGTCTCGCCCTCTCTCATACCCACATCCTCCGTCTCGCCCTCTCTCAAACCAACATCCTCCGTCTCGCCCTCTCTCATACCCACATCCCCCGTATCGCCCTCTCTCATAGCGACACCCTTCGTCTCGCCCTCTCTCATACCCACATCCTCCGTCTCGCCCTCTCTCATACCCACATCTTCCGCCTAGCCCTCTCTCATACCCACATCCTCCGTCTCGCCCTCTCTCAAACCCACATCCTCCGTCTCGCCCTCTCTCATACCACACCCTCCGTCTCATCCTCTCTCATACCCACACCCTCCGTCTCACCCTCTCTCATACCCACACCCTCCGTCTCGCCCTCTCTCATAGCGACATCCTCCGTCTCGCCCTCTCTCATACCCACATCCTCCGTCTCGCCCTCTCTCATACCCACATCCTCCGTCTCGCCCTCTCTCATACCCACATCCTCCTTCTCGCCCTCTCTCAAACCCACATCTTCCGTCTCCCCCTCTCTCATACCCACATCCTCCGTCTCACCCTCTCTCATACCCACATCATCCACCACGCCCTATCTCATACCCACATCCCCCGTCTCGCTCACTCTCATATACCCACATCCCCCGTCTTGCCCTCTCTCATACTCACACCCTCCTTCTCAGCCTCCGTCTCGCCCTCTCTCATACCCACATCTTCCGCCTAGCCCTCTCTCATACCCACATCCTCCGTCTCGCCCTCTCTCATACCCACATCCTCCGTCTCGCCCTCTCTCAAACCCACATCCTCCGTCTCGCCCTCTCTCATACCCACACCCTCCGTCTCATCCTCTCTCATACCCACACCCTCCGTCTCACCCTCTCTCATACCCACACCCTCCGTCTCGCCCTCTCTCATACCCACATCCTCCGTCTCGCCCTCTCTCATACCCACATCCTCCGTCTCGCCCTCTCTCATACCCACATCCTCCGTCTCGCCCTCTCTCATACCCACATCCTCCGTCTCGCCCTCTCTCAAACCCACATCTTCCGTCTCCCCCTCTCTCATACCCACATCCTCCGTCTCACCCTCTCTCATACCCACATCATCCACCACGCCCTATCTCATACCCACATCCCCCGTCTCGCTCACTCTCATATACCCACATCCCCCGTCTTGCCCTCTCTCATACTCACACCCTCCTTCTCAGCCTTTCTCATACCCACATCCTCCGTCACGCCCTCTCTCATACCCACATCCTCCGTCACGCCCTCTCTCATACCACATCCTCCGTCTCACCCTCTCTCATACTCACATCCTCCGTCTCACTCTTTCTCAAACCCACATCCTCAGTCACGCCCTTTCTCATATCTACATCCTCCGTCACGCTCACTCTCATACCCACACACATCCTCCGTCACGCTCTCTCACATACCCACACACATCCTCCGTCACCAAAATAATATCTAGCTTTATCAGGTACTCGACAGCTTGAGGCCTAGGTAACACGTATATCTGCAAAAGCTTATTAATAATTACCCTTTCCAATACCAACAACCCCCGCCTCTCTCTCTCTCTCTCTCTCTCTCTCTCTCTCTCTCTCTCTCTCTCTCTCTCTCTCTCTCATGGCCACAAACCTGTTGCATCATCTTGTGTTTACAGTTGCTCTGTTTCAACCACATGCACACAGCCAAGCTGTTGTTGCCCGCTGCAAGTACAACACAGTCCCCTCCACACTTCTGAGTTCTGAGCGCCCTCTGCCTGCACACTAACTCCCGCGCCAGTTGGATGAAAGCTGCGTTTATGTTACATCCACTGCTCATGAATGAAAACAGGACCAGTCCGCAATTCGTTGTGGAAATGTATTGGTGAATGTAGGGTGATTCTGTTTCCTTAACTTAAGTGGGTAGAAACTGCTAAAATGTTTCATCATTGTTCTGTTGACATGGTGTTGGGGTATAAGTCTTATTAATATCACTTAAAAGATATTTGTAGAGGAAAGCATTCGCAAGCAGTTTCAATTTTTGTCTCTTCTACTCATCAATACATTAGTACAAAAGACGTTAACATACATCAGCATCATAAACGAATTCCGTATTTCAATTTTGGATAAACCACAATGACCCTCAAAGATTGGTAAGTTTTCATTTTTCATTGATCAGCTGATAATTCGGACGGATACAACATGCTTAATGAGGTGTTTATGATCCACTACCCGCCTACAACCAGTACCAGAGCATACATCTGCGCGACAGGTATAACCATTGTTGATGTACTGCAATAATATATATAATTGCAGGAGGATGCTAACGAGCCATTATGTTTATGATATGATATATCTGAATAATGAGACGATTTGGATTGAAACTTTACTAGTGTTCGGGATACTGTGAAGTTCAACATTATCACACAGGTTATACAGTTGTACCTTACATTTGGTTATTTTCTGAAGTCGAAATGGTCTCATGAGTCTCATTAGAATCCTGTTCAATATTCTCTAATGTATGGACTAGTCCGACTAGTCTGCTCCCGTTTCAGTGGGGCCACCCTCGTCTCTACCTGTCCTGGAGGATATTCTGGGCTCTGTTTCATTCATCATGGCTGGTCATTGGCATTGTGTCTTCGACCAAAGTGACGTCATCACCGGTAGGTGGCGCTGTGTAGTTTATCTACCTCACGAACTGGACCTACCTCTTGCTGACCACGAGTACTGTCCTGGACGCAGTCATCGTGGTGTTCGTCAGGATCAACAGACAGGACATTATAAACGGTAACGTGCATTTTCCCTGCTTAAGTGGATGCTATATATAACATGGAAGCCGTTATCCAATGCTGATGCAACATCGAAATGCTTACTGCATTCTCATACCAACATACTAATGGTTGCATACTAAAGCAATATATATTTAATTTCTAAAGAAAATGTCAAAGAACTTTTCTTCAAATACAGGAACATGCCTTATAATAACTCTTGCATCTTGTTGCTTATGTGTCAGATACTTATAAACATCATCAGGTACTGAATGCTATGGCAAGGTCCTACCATGTGTCAAGCCCAAACCTGGACACAGATTTTGCAAACCACGAACTCAATACGCTCGTCGGGCTGTCGGGTAGCCAAGTGGTTAAAGCGTTCGCTCGTCACGCCGAAGACCCGGTTTGATGCTCAACATAGCAACAGTATGTGAATTTCACAATATTTGGATCCTTAAAATAGTATACAGGATTATATTTTTCTCACAGTGGAGTACAATGACATACAAGTGAAAGTGATATTCATCCTCTATATCTTGCCTATTACACATTTTACATAATCGTTCTGACCTTGGAGTTTTTGTATATCTCCCACTCTCGATGCATAAATCATGGGGTGAACATCGAAATCTTGCCAATGAATTACGGTACCCAAACTATAATATGACTTTTTAACATTAAAATGTATGTGATGCCAGGATACAAGTGCCAGCGCAAATAATATGCAGTTGTCCCCCACATTGAGCTTTAATATGTACTCATATTTTCAGATAAAAGTCTGACACTATTGACATTCATCCTCCACGGTATGAACTCCATCTACGCCTTGTCCAACCTCCTCATTACCGCCATGCCAGTACGTGTGTATCACGTGATCTACCCAGTTATCTATGGCGTCATTTACACAGTTTTCAGTGCCGTTTATCACATACTTGGCGGGACCAATAATAAGCGAGAACCATATATCTACACGATTCCTGATTGGTCCAACTTGAAGCGGACTCCACCCCTTTCCTTTCTGAATACCTTTGTGGCTCTACCGTGTTTGTATTTTATTGTTTTCCTTATTCACAAACTGAGGATATACGTACATTCATAATGTCTGAAAAAGAACAAGGAGACAAGAATTCTTGTTTCATCAATGGAAAGGATTGACAGTGAAAGTGCACATGTTTGACAAAGTATCGTTAAGTAAGATAAAAGAAGATGTATTAATGTGTATCTCTGTTACGACTACTCACGATTACTCACTCACAGGAGCGATACACGCCTCAATATTGTTAAACTTTTTATAGTCTATTCATACTTATGAAATATGTATGATGAAATTATGGATGTGTCAATGAAAATTCGTTCCTCCACTGATAGCAATAACATTTTGCTTTCTACAACTACAACACAAGCACGTAATCTCAAACATAGATCTCGTCAGCAACAGTTACCTGTTTCAGTGCATGTAACATTGTCTTTCATCATTTGTCGTGGGTG